TGTGTCTCTAGGAATGCATCCTTTTTTTTTTTTTTTTTTTTTTTTTTTACAGATTGTCAAATTTGCTGGCATATAGTTGCTCATAATATGTTCTTATAATTGTTTGTATTTCTTGGGTATTGGTTATGATCTCTCCTCTTTCATTCATGATTTTATAAATTTGGGTCCTTTTTCTTTTCTTTTTGATAAGTCTGGCCAGGGGTTTATCAATCTTATTAATTCTTTCCAAGAGCTAGCTCCTAGTTTCGTTTATTGGTTTTACTGTTCTTTTGGTTTCGATTTCATTGATTTCTGCTCTGATCTTTATGATTTCTCTTCTCCTGCTGGGTTTAGGGTTTCTTTCTTGTTCTTTCTCCAGCTCCTTTAGGTGTATAGGTTGTATACTTGAGACCTTTCTTGCTTCTTGAGAAAGGCTTGTATCACTATATACTTTCCTTTCAGGACTGCCTTTGCTGTGTCCCACAGATTTTTAACAGTTGTGTTTTCATTATCATTTGTTTCCATGAATTTTTTCAATTCTTCTTTAATTTCCTGGTTGACCCATTCATTCTTTAGTAGGATACACTTTAGCCTCCATGTGTTTGAGTTCTTCCCAACTTTCCTCTTGTGATTGAATTCTAGCTTCAGAGCATTGTGGTTTGAAAGTAGGCAGGGAATGATCCCAGTCTTTTGGTACCAGTTGAGGCCTGATTTGTGACCCAGGATGTGATCTGCTCTGGGGAATGTTCCATGTGCACTAGAGAAGAATGTCTATTCTGTTGCTTTGGGATGGAATGTTCTGAATATATCTGTGATGTCCATCTGGTCCAGTGTGTCATTTAAGGCCTTTATTACCTTGTTGATCTTTTGCTTGAATGATCTGTCCCTTTCAGTGAGGGGGGTGTTAATGTCCTCCATTACTATTATTATATTATTGTCAATGTGTTTCTTTGATTTTGTTATTAAGTGGTTTATATAATTGGCTGCTCCCATGTTAGGGGCATAGATTCTTAAAATTGTTAGATCTTCTTGTTGGACAGACCCTTTAAGTATGATATAGTGTCCTTCCTCGTCTCTTATTATAGTCTTTGGCTTAAAATCTAATTGATCTGATATAAGGATTGCCACCCCAGCTTTCTTTTGATGTCCATTAGCATGGTAAATTGTTTTCCACCCCCTCACTTTAAATCTGGTGGTGTCTTTGGGTTCAAAGTGATTTTCTTGTAGACAGCATTTTGATGGGTTTTGTTTTTTTATCCATTCTGAGACCCTGTGTCTTTTGATTGGGGAATTTAGCCCCTTTACATTCAGGGTATCTATTGAAAGATATGAATTTAGTGCCATCATATTGCCTGTATGGTGACTGTTACTGTATATTGTCTCTGTTCCTTTCTGGTCTACTACTTTTAGTCTCTCTCTTTGCCTAGAGGACCCCTTTCACTATTTCTAATAGGGCTGGTTTGGTGATTAAAAATTCTTTTAATTTTTGTTTGTCCTGGAAGCTTTTTATCTTTCCTATTTTCAGTGATAGCCTAGCTGGATATAGTATTCTTGGGCTGCATATTTTTCTCATTTAGTGCTCTGAATATATCATGCCAGTTCTTTCTGGCCCACCAGGTCTCTGTGGATAAGTCTCTGCCAATCTAACATTTCTACCATTGTTTGTTACAGATTTCTTGTCCCAAGCTGCTTTCAGGATTTTCTCTTTGTCATTAAGACCTGGAAGTTTTACTCTTACATGACAGGGTGTGGTCCTATTTTTATTGATTTTGAGGGGGGATTCTCTGTGCCTCCTGGAATTTGATGCTTGTTCTCCTTGCCACATTAGGGAAATTCTCTACTATAATTTGCTCCAATATATCTTCTGCCCCTCTCTTCTTCTTCTTCTTCTTCTTGAGTCCCAATTATTCTAATATTGTTTCATCTTATGATATCACTTATCTCTCAAATTCTCTCCTCATGGTTCAGTAGTTGTTTGTCTCTCTTATGCTCAGCTTCTTTATTCTCTGTCATTTTGATCTCCTATATCAGTAATTCTCTATTCTGCTTCATTTATCCTACCAGTAGGACCCTCCATTTTTGATTACACCTCTTTTTTTTTTAAAGATTTTATTTATTTATTTGACAGACAGAGATCACAAGTAGGAAGAGAGACAGGCAGAGAGAGGTGGGGGGGAAGCAGGCTCCCTGCTAAGCAGAGAACCCAATGTGAGGCTAGATCCCAGGACCCTGGGATCATGAACCGAGCTGAAGGCAGAGGCTTTAACCCACTGAGCCACTGAGGCTATCCTTGATTGCACCTCATTAATAACTATTTTTTATTTCAACTTGTTTAGATTTTAGTTCTTTTATTTCTCCAGAAAGGGATTTTATTTCTCCAGAAAGGGTTTCTCTAATATATTGCATGCCTTTTTCAAGCCCAGCTATCACCTTGAGAATTGTCATTCTATACTCTAGTTCTGACATATTACCAATGTCCATATTGATTAGGTCCCTAGCCATTGGTACTGCCTCTTGTTCTTTTTTTACTTTTTTTTTTTTGTGGTGAGTTTTTCCACCTTGTCATTTTATCCAGATAAGAGTATATGAATGAGAGAATAAAATGCTAAAAGTACAGCAAAGATGCCAGAAAAATGTACACTAACTAAATCAGAAGAGACCCAAAACCGGGGAGAGAAGAAGAAGAAGAAGGGAGGACTGTTTTCTTTTTCTTTTTTTTTTAAGGTCTTATTTATTTGAGAAAGAGAGAGGGAAAAGCGGACTCCCTGCTGAGCAGGGAGCTTTGATACAGGGCTTGATCCCAGGACCTTGGGATCATGACCTGAGCTGAAGGCTGATGCTTAAGGGACTGAGATACCCAGGCACCCCATGGGAGGACTGTTTTCATGTTTACCCTTGTATAGGAAAATTTAATCATAGGACTTGAGATAATGAGATTTTTTTTTTTTTAAACTAAGGAAAATAAATATTGGGAAACGCATGCAATTTGTAGTTGTAGTAAAACATTCTTCTACACCATTCGGTCTTTTTCTTATTTTACTAAGATATTTCTTATTAGGTCTAATATTCATGTATAAGGCTTTATAAGATACTTTCCAAACTTCAAAAATTGCCAAACTCATTTAAGCTATTTTTTTCTGTAGCTTCAGTATGAATGTTCTTCATTTTATTGTGAGGAAAACTTGTGTTAAAAATTTCCATTCTTTATGTGTAATGTATAAACCCATTTGAGATAAACTCAAAGATAAAAGATTTTGCTGTAATCCATTAAACATTGTCAGATTCAGTATAATAGGATTTGCTAAAATAGGAACCTATTTTCATTGCTTAGTTTTTACATATGTATATATATCCTGTCTTCTCAGTAAGGTCAAACTTCAAGGAGAGTGGGGCCTCTGACTTACCTTAATGCACCTGTGACAAGTCAGTTAGGGATAGAGGAATATAGGTTAAAGGCTGTGTTAGAAGCTGCTGATGCCTCACCGAGGTCCCCTCAAGTGGCTGGAGGCACCCTCCCTCAGCTGCTGAGGTGTCTGCTGCACCCATCTCTGGAGGGTAGTCTTGGGTTTTAGGAGATGTCTTGTCTAATGATCCCTGAAAGGTCAAGCACTCACACCCTAAGATTGTAACAGTTTAGCCACTGTAAGTCGTTCAGTATATCAGTGGTGCCACCCATGCTCCATAGCTCCCTGTGGAATTAGATTGATCTTGATTTCTCCTAAAACCACATCCTTTTCCTAGCTTCTTACCCCAACTCTGCTGTTTTCTCATTCACTTGTAAATTTCTTTCTTTTTTTTTTTTCCTTGCAACGTACCTACAAGTTTACTCATGGTACAAAAGTATTTAATAAGCCTCACACATCAGTACAGGAAAACACATAGCCTATATAGCTCATACTTGAAAACCAGAATGGGTGACTGAGATCAGTATAGAGTCTTACTTACAAAAAACACAGAAAGTACACACTGGGAATTGAAATACTATGTTCTTTCTTTCTAGAGATGTGACACCTGTGTTTCCTGGTCAGTACTTTCTATGAAACATTGTGCTACATCAAAGCATACGTGTGACCAGTAAAGTTGTCTGCTCTCTCCTACTTGCTCTGAGCTCGCTCAGTGGAACACCATCTTGGTAGGGAGATTTTGACAGGAGGAAGGAACTAGAGACCCTACTCCAACAGAAAACCTAATAAACTTATTTATATAGAGAGAGTTTTAGCAAACCTGTACAAACACTTAACATGCCATTAGAAGGGGAGACCTTTGAGCCTACTTCCACAGCATTAAGCACATGCTCGTTGGTGCCCAGTAGCCCAGGAAGGACAACACAGAAAGCATTTTTGCTTTCATAGCACTAACAGCTAAAAAGCACACAGCATATAATACTTTGATCTTTTAGTGGGTAATCTGGAAGCCCCAAGATTATATCCACTAGGTTAGCCTGAGTATTTTTCTATAAAAATATTTTTCTAAAAATGCTTAAGAGAATTCTAGAAACAGACCACATCAGGACCACAGAAGACAGTGATGCAAGGACTGCCAAGTTTAAGACAAGGAAATGATTTCCACTTGCAGCTTCAGGTAAGGGACACCTCTCAGTTGATTCCTACAGCCCAAACTAGCTGGAATGGGAAGAGCTGCAGAGAGCTCAGCTGGGCAGGCAGCTGGCTTGACTAAGAGCCTAGAGATATGTTCTCCCACAGGCAAAAAGCCCACTGAGGCTGCAGGTCTGAGAGTGATGAATACAGAGGGCTGTGAGCAACACAAAAAGCCTGGAGGACATGCAGAGCCTGTTGAGCCAAAGAGGCCTGGAGGTGACCTATCAACACATATGCCAGGGAAGTGGCCCCAAGGCAATGCCAAGCTCCGGAGCCGGATCCTAATGCAGAGGCCTGAGAGGGGTCTGCTTGGGGAGGAGCGCTAGGATTACTGAACACGAGAAGGTGCTTCAGGGTCTCAGGAGGGTCAGACCATTGTTTTGACCCATCAATACTTAACATTAATAAGGAGTTGCAGAGCAGTCAGTCTTTCTAACATGTATTCTGTCACATTAGCCAGAGCCTCTTCCAGTCTACTGGGATGGCAACATCCAGAAAGATCCCATTGCTTGGTGGTGGGACCTAGGGTCGCAGGTCATTCTGGGAAGCTGGCACAGAAGAGGATTTGCACAATGAAGTCACCACTAAACCACTGCTTAAATCCAGTCCCCGGCCTTCTTTTTCTGCTCTGTAGTCCAGAAACATTTCTTTAAAAGCCAGAAAATCTGTAAACGTGAGCAGCATGTCAAATATGTCACCAACCACTTCATCTTTATGGTGCTGTAAAGTCGTGGTGAAAGCCACTATGTTAAATCCAGGAATCCGCTCCAGCAGCTGTTCTTCAATATACTTTTCTACCAGAGAAATGTATTCGTTATAAATAGGTGTGTAGGTGGGTTTATTCTCTTCTGTGTCTTCAAACTCCTGATAGTACTTGTCCATGAAATTTCTCTGTAATAACTGGAACTCATCATCCATGATAATGACCTCTAAATATCCAACTACAGCATCAAATTCTGCATCAGAGGCGGAAGAGGACAGCGCGAAACTCTCTTCCTCTAGGGCGTCCATGGGCGCCGCCGCATCCACCCGCAGAGGGAGCGGGCCAGCCGGCCTGCTATCCCCTCCGCGGTCCGGCCCGGCCTCGGCTCTGCTCTGTAGAGCCGCAACCCGCATCTGGGAGGCCTCGCCCGCTCTGGGCGCAGCCGGGGTAGGCCCTATGTGCGAGGCCCGGGCCTCAGGCTCCGCTGGAGAGGACACGCGCCTGCGGGGTCCTCACAACCAGCCAGGTCTCTCAGAGTGCGTCGCGGCCGCTCTGTAAATTTCTTTTTTAAAATTTTTTTTGAAAAAAATGTTATTGTGTTATATTAGTCACCATAAAACACATCATTAGTTTTGTTTTGTTTTGTTTTTAAAGATTTTATTTATTTACTTGGCAGAGAGAGATCAGAAGTAGGCAGAGAAGCAGGCAGAGAGAGGGGGAAGCAGGCTCCCTGCTGAACGGAGAACCCAATGTGGAGCTCCATCCCAGGACCCTGAGCCAAAGACAGAGGCTTAACCCACTGAGCTACCCAGGCACCCCTGGGTACATCATTAGTTTTTGATGCAGGGTTCCAAGGTTCATTGTTTATGTACCACACCCATTGTTTATGTACCACCACTTACCCTCCTTAATACCTACCACTAGGCTCATCCATCTCCCCATCTCCCTCCCCTCTAAAACCCTCAGTTTGTTTCTCATAGTCCACAGTCTTTCATGCTTCATCTCCCCCTCTGATTCCCCGTCTTCACTTTTCCTTTCCTTCTCCTGAAGTCCTCCATGTTATTCTTTATGCTCCATAAGTAAGTGAAACCATATGATAATTGACTTTTTCTGCTTGACTTATTTTACTCAGACCCAAAAGGCTCCACCCCCAAATTACTAGAACTCATACAGCAATTCGGTAATGTGGCAGGTTACAAAATCAATGCCCAGAAATCAGTTGCTGTCTTACATACTAACAATGAAATAGTAGAAAGGGAAATTAGAGAATCGATTCCATTTACAATAGCACCAAAACCATAAGCTACCTTAGAATAAACCTAACCAAAGAGGTAAAGGATCTATATTCAAGGAACTACAGAACACTCATGAAGTAAATTGAAGAAGTCACAAAAAGATGGAAAAAACCTTCCATGCTCATGGGTTGGAAGAATAAACATTGTTAATATGTCTATGCTGCCCAGCACTTTTAAATTTCTGTCGAGAGTAAATGGACTCATTATGAAATCTGTATTCCCTAGCACACATGAGAGTAACTCCTGAAAACATGTTAAAAAATGAAAGCAGGACATGAGGCATCCAGTCATGGAGACATGTGGTGGACAAAGGGTATAGGCATTTTAGCTTTTCTGAGGTTAATGCTAGTTTTCATTTGTATTGTCTGTGTCACCCTCCTTTCTCTTATTGTGTAATAATAATAATTAAGACATAAATAGAGCATACTTATGCTTATGATTCCCAGGGAAGGCCGCATAAATAATTTGGCTCTTTTTCCATTGGTTAGAACTTAGGATGGTGAAATGCCCATTATTTTCCTAAGATTGCATTTCTCCGATTTTTCCCAGAAGATACTGCCTGAGTGGATTGTAGTTGTCTGGATCTGGCAGGTTGTTTATTTATTTATTTATTTATTTATTTATTTAAAGATTTTATTTATTTGACAGACAGAGATCACAAGTAGGCAGAGAGGCAGGCAGAGAGAGAGGGAGGAAGCAGGCTCACTGCTGAGCAGAGAGCCCGACGCAGGGCTCGTCGATCCTAGGACCCCGGAATCATAACCTGAGCCGAAGGCAGAGGCTTTAACCCACTGAGCCACACAGGTGCCCCCAGGTTGTATATTTAAAGGAGACCACTTGGTAGCTACATTAACTCCTTCAGGCCTTTAGGGTAGTACTTAGTATAATTTAGGGTCAGTCTTAGCCAGGTCCAAACTGGTGAATTACTCTAAGTGATACACTAGAGTCTTGAGTGAGTTAACATAACTTCCCAACATGTTACCTCGATGAGCAAGCAGCTCATTTTTAGGAAGAGTTGGGCACAGTGAGTGCAGGTGACAGGATCCAGAACAGGATATGGCTGGTTAGCTATTTTTAAGCACTGCTCCCTCTTTTGCACCTTGGAGGTTAATTTTACCAAATGATAATCCCAGAGTCTGAGGGAATGAATGGTGTTTCCATTTGTTTAGAAATAGATGAGACATTGGCATAGTCTGGATCTGTGATCTGAAAAAGAAGATTAATTATTTCCAGTCTTGAAACAAAATCCAGCGTATTCTGAATCTTAAAGCATGGCATTTGTATGAGCTTGCTAGGGGCTGCTGTAACAAAATACTACAGGCTGGGTGACTTAAATAACAGAAATTTATTGTCTCTGAATTCTGGAAGGCTGCTGTTTGAGATGAAGATGTCAACAGAGTTAATTCCTTCTGAGGGATGTGAGAAAAGTCTTTCCCATGCCTCTCCCCTCACTTCTGGTATTCCATGGCTGGTACAAACATTATCTCCACTTTTGGTCTAGTAGTCACATAGTGTTCTTCCAGTGCCTCTCTGTCTCCAAATTTCCCATTTTTATGATGCCAGGCATAATCTTTGAGGCTTCTCTAACTCCATTACCTCTGTAAAGACCCTATCTATAAACAAGGTCACATTACTTACCACATATAAATTTGGAGATGACCTAATTCAATCCATAACAGAATCATTAGAAAATTCTTTTGTGTTGGTGGATGTTCAAAGAAATTCAGTAATTAAGGATACACCTGGCATAACAGATACAAGACCATTAAGCTGAAAAACAATACATTGATGAAAGAAATTAAAGAATATCTAAGCACGTAGATATTTCATGTTCATAGAGTAGATGTTGCTAAAATGTTACTTTCCCCCAAACTGATGTACAGATATAATACAATTCCAGTTTTTTTAAAAAATTTTTATTTCTTTTGAGTTATTAATTTTTATCTTTTGAGCTTTAAAAATTTTTTTATTATGTTCTATTAGTCACCATACAGTACATCATTGGTTTTTGATGTAGTGTTCCATGATTCATTATTTGCATATAATACCCAGTGCTACATGCAATACATGCCCTCCTTTATACCCATCAATAGGCTAACCAATCCCCTCATCCCCTGCCCTTCTAAAACCCTCAGTTTGTTTCCCAGAAACCATAGTCTCTCATGGTTCATCTCCCCTTCTGATTTCCCACCCCCTTCATTTTTCCTTCCTTCTCCTAATGCCCTCCATGCTATTCTTTATATTTCACAAATAAGTGAAACCATGCAGTAGTTGACTTTCTCTGCTTGACTTATTTCACTTAGCATAATCTCCTCCAGTCCCATCCATGTCAGTGCCAATGGTGGGTATTCATCCTTTCTGATGGCTGAGTAATATTCCGTTGTGTATATGGACCACATCTTCTTTATTCATTTTTCTGTTGAGGGGCATCTCAGCCCTTTCCACAGTTTGGCTATTGTGGACATTGATCTGTGAACACTGGGGTGCATGTAGCCCTTCTTTTCACTACATCTGTATCTTTGGGGTCAATACCCAGTGGTGCAATTGCAGGGTCATAGGGTAGCTCTATTTTTAATTTTTTGAGGAACCTCCATATTGTTTTCCAAATTGGCTGTACCAGATTGCTTTCCCACCAACAGTGTAAGAGGGTTCTCCTTTCTTCACAACCTCTCCAACATTGGTTGTTTCTTGCCTAGTCACTTTTGGCCATTCTAACTGGTGTAAAGTGGTATTTCAGTGTGGTTTTGATTTGAATTTCCCTGGTGCCTAATGATGTTGAATATGCTTTCATGTGTCTGTTAGCCATTTGTATGTCTTCTTTGGAGAAGTGTCTTTTCATGTCTTCTGCCCATTTTTTGACTTGATTATTTGTTTTTTGGGTGTCGTGTTTGAGAAGTTCTTTATAGACCTTGGATACCAGCCCTTTGTCTAGTGTCATTTGCAAATATCTCCTCCCATTCCGTGGGTTACCTCTTTGTTTTGTTGACTGTTTCCTTTGCTGTGCAGAAGCTTTTTATCTTGATTAAGTCCCAGAAGTTCATTTTTGTTTTTTTTTTCCCTTGCCCTTGGAGACATTTCTTGAAAGAAGTTGCTGTGACTGATGTCAAAGAGGTTACTGCCTAGTTTTCCTCTAGGATTTTGATGTATTCCTGTCTCACATTGAGGTCTTTCATCCATTGAGAGTTTATCTTTGTGTATGGTGTAAGAGAATGGTCAAGTGTCATTCTTCTGTATATAGCTGTCCAATTTTCCCAGCACCATTTATTGAAGAGACTGTCTTTCTTCCCACTGGCTATTTTTTCCCTGCTTTGTAGAAGATTAGTTGACCATAGAGTTGAGGGTCTGTATCTGGCTTCTCTGTTCTGGTCCATTGATGTATGTGTCTGTTTTTGTGCCAGTACCATGCTGTCTTGATGGTCACAGCTTTGTAATATAGCTTGAAATCAGGCAACGTGATGCCCCCAGCTTTTTTTTTCTTTATCAATATTTCCTTGGTGATTCGGGTCTGATTCCATACACATTTTAGGATTGTTTGTTCCAACACTTTGAAAAATGCTACTCCTATGTTGATTGGGATGATACTGAAAGTAAAGATTATTTTGGGCAGCATAGACATTTTAAAAATGTTTATTCTTCCGATCCATGAGCATGGAATATTTTCCTGTCTTTTTGTGTCTTCTTCAATTTCTTTGAATAAACCTAACCAAAGAGGTAAAGGATCTATACTCTGGAAACTAAAGAATGCTTACAATTCCAATTTTAAAGAAGTCACATGCATGTTGACTAATTGAGTATAAGTAAAAAAAAAAGTAAAAGAAAGAAATCACAAATCAAAACTCCAGCATGTTCATTTATAGAAACAGGTCAGCTGATTGTAAAACCCATACAGAAATGCAAAGGACCTAGAATAGTCCAATGAAATCTGAAACAAAGAATAAAGTTGGAGAATTTGTATTCAAACTTGTACAATGAAGAAAATTCAGTAAGAAAACAAAATTACCACATAAAAATCA